TTGTATTTTGAGAAAAATGATATCCCATCATTAATTGGAAAAGGTAAGAAAATCATAAAATTTTTAGGTGAATGCTTAAGAATGCTTTTAGAATATGAAGAATCCAAAAAATGTTATGAGAAAGTAGTCAATATTGATGAAAAGAATATAGTATCTCGTGTAGGATTAGGTTTTTATTAAATTATATTTAAGGTGAATGCTTAAGACATATGGGGTCATTTTTAGAAGCTATTGGATAATACGATAAAGCTTTGGAAATTGATTAGAAAAACATAATCTCCTTATATGGAAAAGGTAATTTAATAAATGAATTATCTTAGGGTATTGCTTAAGAAATATTTATAATTATTAATAAGCTGATGATTGTTACATTAAAGTTCTTGAAATTAATCCAAATCATAGAGACTCAAAAAAAGAACATGGTTCCAAAATGATATTAAATTTTAGATTTATGTTTAGCTGAGTTGAAGAAAAATTAGAGGCTTTAATAAACTTAGGTTGATCAAAATGCAGATGTAAGATAAGAAAATGTCATTTAAACAGATATTCTTCCAAATAGAGGTAAATAACACATTATAAAATAGGAGTGTAAAAAGTCTATCATCTTTCAAATTCTAGAGATCCTAAAAATGAATTTTTTAAATCACATTAATAGTTGCCAAATTAAGAATAGTTGCCAAAAAAAGATCCTACCAAAACAATCAAACGTTCTGATTCTTTAGATAGAAAAGAAGTTCGAGATTTTTGTAATAGAGGTAAGTTATATATTGTAATCCATAGCTGATTCTTTAAAAAAAAATGGAAATTATGAAGAAGCATTAAAATTATATGAATAAGCTCTTGAAAAGGACCCAAAAGATATTCCATCATTAAATGGTAAAGGAAATTGTTTAAGATTGTTGCTTAAATTTGGTGAATCTTTGTAAACTTTAGAAACAGCTTTAAAATTAAATAGAAATAGTATTTCATTATATGGAGCAGGTTAAATAATAAATATTTTTATAGGAGAATGTTTAAGAATGTTAAAACAATTTAATGATGCTGAAGAATTCTATATGGAATCCTTGACAAAAGCTAAGGAAGAATCTTAAAGTTAAGATCCGATTATCTTTATGAATTTAAGAGGATTAGGTTAATTTCTGTTATTAAATTAGGTGACATTTTAAGAGCAAAAGGAGAATTTCAAAAATCAATAAATTTTTATGATTAAGCTTTGGCTTTAAATGAGAATCACGCTTTATCATTATTTGGAAAAGGTTTATTTATTCTTTATTTTTAGCTGAAAGTCTAAGAGGCTTAGGAAAATATGAAGATTCAATTATTTATTATAAGAAATCATTAGAAATAAATAAGAATGACTTAATCTCATTATCTGGATTAGGTATAATATTATCTAAAATTTTAGGAGAAAGCTTACGAATTTTAAAGAATTATTCAGAAGCTTAGAATTATTATGAATAAGCACTTTAGATTGATAAAAATAGAGTGGTTTGTTTACTAGGATTAAGTAAGTTGAAAATTTTATTTAAGGTTAATGTTTAAGGAAGTAATTATAGCCAAAAGGGGCATTAGAATTAATTGATCGGGTATTAAAATTTAACCCTTCTGACGAATAATGCTAAAATCTTAAAAGTTATTTTATCATTTGATTTATTAGAAATATGTTTAAATGAGATTAAGATATTAGAAGAAGCTTCGAATAATTAAGGAAACAATTAATGATTCGTATACAACAATAAAACGGAAATTTTAATAATTCAGTTCTTAAATTATTTATATATAATATATATATATAATTAATATTGAATTCATAAGAATAATTATTTATTAGTTTTACTTAATTAAATGTATTTAGAAAGAGATAATAATACCTATATACCATGAATATTTTTATTTTTAATTATAGTATTTACATTAATGAAGAAATAAATTAAGAATTTCAGAAATAATCTATAAATTTGTTAATTTAAAATAATGAATCAAATGATAAAAGAAAATCATTTATTTTATTAATAAAGTTAAAATGAATGTAATGATTTGTTAATCTTAATAATTATTATAAAATAATTAGATGATTTTTAAGAAAATTGACTTTTCATAATTTTAAACAAATAATTTTTTTAATAATTTCATAGTAAATTGATTACGTCATGGCATCAGTTGACTAGACATAATTCACCTTTATAAAGCATCGCCACTTTACAAAAAAGAGAAAACTTGAGTAAAAGCCAAGAAATTACACTTACATTAGTTCTGAGGCAAAATTATTGTTCCTCCAGCTCTTTTTATTTGAAAGCTATAAAATCCAGGATGTAAAGTTTTTGTTTAAATTCTTTATTAGGCAGCCTAAAAAGCTGGGATAAAGTATTCATCTGCTAAGACAATACTTTTTGCTCATCGAAAGACTTTTAAGGATGAGTTGATAAGAAATAAATTGGCAGCAGTATAAAATTAAATTATATTCTGAAATAGAATTCAATAAAGGCAAAGTGTTGCGGATATAAAGTTAAATAAAGTGGAGATTAAAATAACATTCAAATAATTAGCAGAGTTGGAATGTGATAGAGCAATTCACCCCCCACCTTTAATTTGTATATATATGTGAATAAAATTTTTAATTTAATATTAATTAATTTTATCCGTTAACAAAATGAACATCAGATAACCACTATAATCTTTTAATTCAATAGAGAGAAACCCTGATAAATCATGCAAGTCAATTTCAGAAATCGAGACATTCCTAAAAGAAATAGATAGATTGTAAGGTGAGAATCAAAAATTGAAAGATCGTCTTAAATAATAGCCATCCATATCAATGACTATGGAAAATCAAAAGGTTCTTGCTGAGAATGAAGACCTAAAAGTAATTAAATCAATAAATATCTTTTAGAATCAATTGGAGTTACTGTAACATAAAAATGAAGTATAGGAGAAGACTCATTCAGATGCCTTAAGATAATTAGATATAAATTGGAAATAGGATGTGGCTACCTTAAAGTTTTAATTAGAACAATAGGAGATCAACCATAGATAAGGTTTAAGATAAGAAACTATGTAATACAAGTAGGAAATAGCAAAGTTATAATAAAGTCTTTCTAAGATTTCAAGTGTTGAAAATAACAATTAGAATTTAGTCTAAGTTTTGGTAAAAATTCTATATTATAGGATAGGAAAATGAGTTGATCTAAGTAAAGTAGATAAATAATGCTTTAGAAGAAAAGTTGGAATAAGCTATTTCTTAATTTGACCTATAATCAAAAGACTAAGAATTTACTTTGATGAAATAATAAACTATTATAAATTCTTAGGAATAATATCTAAATGAATTGAAATCTAAACTTCAAATTCAAAAAGATTAAAATCTTGATTTGTTATCAACTGTGAAAAAATTGAAGGATGTAGCTGATAACAAAACTATTCTAGCTTCCAGTTTAAGCAGTAGAGTAAAAGAATTAGAAAATGATTTCAAACATGTCAGTTGTACTTATTAAGAACATAAAACTTAATTATAATCGAGAATTGATGATTTAATATTATTAACTGGAAAATAAGCTGAATAAATATGTTTACTTCAAACTTAATAATAAAGAGATTAAGAATTGATTAAAAGATTACAAATCAATTTAGAAAATGAGTAAAAGAATAAGGAAATGGAATTAAGAGAAATTCAAGAATCAAAAGCTAAATTGATTCAATTTTTATAATAGGAATTACTTTAATAAAAGGAGTAAAATCATGAATTAAGAAGTGAGAATCAGCATTTAGATAAATAATTAAATGAATTGAAACAATTTTATCAATATAATTTCAGAGATTTAGAATGTAAAACTAATATGTTAGAAGGAGAATGCAATAGATTAAACAATATTATTGCTTAAAAAGATCAAGAATTATCAACTATTGAAATGATGATGAATAATAATTCTAATTGTTAAGAAAGAGAAGATGAAAAGATTCATGAAGTTATTCAAATTAAAGAATAAGAAATCAATTTACTTAAGTAATAAAATGAGAGTTTGATCAATGATTTATCAAGATAAGCTGATAATTATAGACATTTAGCTCTATAACATAAACAATATTAGAAATTTGCAGAAGAAGTCAAAATGAACAATATTACTATAAACGAATTATAAAGCAAATGTGAATTATAGGATAAGGAAATAGAAAGATTAAGAATGAAAGTTCTAGAAAAATCATAATAACTTGAAAAAGTATAAAAAGACAACCTTGATTATTAAGCTAAACTCAAATCCAGATTGAAATGATTGTATATATACTATATATATTAATATAAATATGTCAGTGTCTTAATTGTTAATTAAATTATACCATCTAGTTGCGGATCACAGTGATATAGAATCCTTTTAAAACTTTGTTAAATCACAAAACCTAATTCACTAACTTACAATAATCATTGAACATATTTAAAATAACAAAATTAAAAAGGATTACAAGGAATTAGAAAAACAATTGTAGAAATATGAATCTGAAGTCAGAGTTCATATCAGAGTATAATTTACATATATATCATTTTAGGAATCTTATTTAATGAATTAAAAGTACGATGAAATGAAAAATTAAATCAAATAGTTAGAATAAGACAGAAATGAATTATTACAGAATACAAAAAAAACTCTGAATGTACTATTCATTCGATATTTAGTTCTTAGAAACTAAAAAAAGAGAATGAGGAACTCTATTAATAAGTTAAACTGTTGAAGGATGAACTAAATTATTACAAACAATTTGAAATATGTACCCAACAGTCAACCAAAATTAGCAATTCCAAAACTATAGAAAAATAGAACAAACTTAAAGATAAACGATTCCATACTAATATTACTCCTTAGAAAACTGCTAATTCTTCTTTTGATTATTTAGTTAATAAAAGATTAAGTTAGCAGATAGTTTAAAGAAAAAAGAGCTTTTAAAAATATATGTTTAGCAAAAGAAAATCTTGCACAACTGATTTATCTAAAAGTATGTGAATAATATTATCAATATTTTCTAATTAAAGATGCTAAATAGTGGATTGACATCATTTTGCAAATTCTATCCCTTTGTCTAGGTTGTTCTTCAAATTCTTTTGTTAGATGATCATAAATCTAATCACAATAATTTAACATATCCTTCTCAAACTATATCACCCACTTTTCAAATTCTCCTTTAGTATTTTACAAGTACTTCATAATTTAATTGCTTCCTAATATCCCTTCGATTAATTCATTATCTTAATATTTTTTTCCTTATTTCTCCATTTTCTCCTTATCCTATGTTAATGGTTTTTCTATAAATAAAAATTGATGATGTAACATATCTAAATCAAGCCCTCTTTTTTTTGGTACATTTCTTTCTATCCATTTAATTATAATTTCATGTACAACTGAGACAATTATTATAGAGTTTGCTTAAATTAGCATCAATTATTGATCATTATCTGTTTAATTAGGATGAAATTACCAAGCTCTCAAGATTTAAGCAAATAAAACTTATCTTATAAATATGAATAGCATTATTATCATTCTTTATTGATTCTTTTCCATTTATCCAAGACTTCCAGAAACAGTAGGCTTTAGTCTGATTATTTCAAATTTAAAGTAATATGATACAGGAGGAAATTAATAAGGTTATATTAATCTGTTCAAAATCATTCCAAGTTATTTTGTGAAAAAACCAGAAATATTTACAGAAATTAACTTTTTCATGCATAAAACTAATAAATTTTCTATATTTTTTTTTTTTTATTGATTTTACTTTTCTTCACCTACTCTCATATATAAAGGCTCTTTTAAATTTATAATTTCAAGTAACAATTCATCTAAAGTTGCATCCGTCCAATTAGATAATTGTCTTAAAGCTCCATTAAGATTTTAAGCAAATTCTTCTCTTTATTGCTTTAAAATTATTTCAGTTTTAGCTGTTAATGTTTCAATAAGCAATTTATAAAAAGATAGCCATATCTTTAGATGATATACTCTTTTAATCCATCTTTGTAGCTGTTTAGATCTAGGCTTGATCTGTTGAATCTTTATTTATTCCAATTATCCATTTTATTTATCTGTTTATTTTTCTTATTCCTTTTATTAATAATCTGATCCTAAGGCTTATAAATTCAAAGATCTTATGATAGGCTTGTTAGTAAGGATAGAAGTTGTTTTAGGAGATATTGTCAATTTTGGTGTTTCTTTAAGTTACCTTAATGAAGGCAATTATTGGATTTCTATTTTTTTGGGCCTCTCCCCTTTATGTTGCAAAATCAAATAATTTATTTATTCTGGCTCTTTAAGAAATGGAGGTATTGGTAATAAGTCTAAATAATAAGCTGGGAACTCATCAATATACTTTTTAGGAGGTGTTTTTTTTCTTATAATTTATTATTTTCTCTAAGGCATCATACCAAAATTAGGAAGTTCCAATCTCACTTATAATTGTGGTTGCTATTAATTAATATATTCAGGAGATTTAGGAATAAATGTAATGTTAGATTTGTACTATTAGAGATGAGGCAACTTAAAAATTTCATAGTTATTATTTTAATACATTATTATTTAAAAATATATAGAGTTTTTCTTTCATTAAAGAAACTATTAAATAAATCAATTAAATTAGCATCGCTTGAAATAATATTTAAGTCTATTTAGAGCATTTTAGTAAAAATAAAGAATTATCAAAATTTAAGGCTTAAATTATTATATATACTAAATTTTATTAATTTCTTCTGCTAAATTTGATAAATTATAGATTTCCGTTTAAGTTATCACTCTTAAGATTTATAAATTAGTTTCTTCTTCAATTACGATGACTCATTTATAGTATTTGTTTATAGTAATTGATATTTGAAAAAACTAGAATGAATGTGCTACTACCCTTTATTATTTATATTTTTCTAAATTGCAATACTCTAATTTTACCTTTTAAAGTGCAATAATGATTTTTAAGTTAATTTTGGACATTAATTTTTATTTATAAAAATCTTTATGATTACTTTTATTCCTCTTCTCGAATTAATTATTTATTTTTTAACGAATCATATTCTAAGTGGACATTTAGGAATTAGAATATAAGTTTTGGAATTTAAAAATTTGATGACCAAAATTATATTTAAGAAAATGGAGTCCAAATAATTCGGAAAATAAAAAAATAAGCATAAGAATAATGTAGCAATAGTGATTGGGCACTTAATGTAAGACAATTGAAATTTCAAAGAACCTGTTGCTTCTTTTCGAAATTTTTATGAAAATTAATGTCCTCTAATTTAATTTGAGATTCTAATTAAAAGACATTTCCAAAGTTTTCTAATTTAATGATTAGGTTTTGAGAATAAAAACATGTAAGAAAATTATCTAAAGTAATTTCTATATTATACTTTGTGATATTTAAATAAAAAATTTTTTAATATAGTTATTAAAAAAATTTAGAAATAATTTATTAAATAAATAAAATAAGATTTGCTCCATGTAAAATCGCCAAATCAAATTCTAAATTATTAATATTATTTTTAATGAAAATTTTGTCATTAATTGCTATTTTGTTGATAGTCAGCTCTTCGGCAAGACAAGATTCTGTTGAATAATTACTTAATAAAATGAAGAATAACATTTAAGTTAAAGAGGAAATAATGTAAATTCTATAAAGTGGGGACCCAACAAGTTTACAAAAAGCTGAAATCCCAGGAAATGAAAAAATAAGTACATTTTTGTTTAAAATAGATGATTCCACCATCAAGTCCATATTCTTTACAACAGTGAATAAAACTTAATATAATTATACAAACACTTCTTATCCTAATTCAACCTATAATTATACATATGAAAGTGGTTAACCATCCTATAACTTTGCAACATATAGTAATTCAAGTAATACCTCAAATACAACCAATACCACAAACTTGACAAATGCTAGCTATCCTTATTAATATAATTACTCATATCCATAATAAAATACCAATACAAATTACTATACATATAGTAATTCTAGTAATACATCAAATACAACCAATAACACAAACTTGACAAATGCTAGCT